AAAAATATATTATCGGTACAACCACGCTACGTTGGCGGCATCCAAAATACCGTGGAGGAATATTTCAATCACACCTTATATTCCTTCTGCGTGAGAGGTTATTTGATTCTGGTTGTATTTGGATAATATTTTGGTAACATTAAGGTAGCATTACTATTATATTGCACATTTCAACGGTGATAAATATTTACAAGCTTTATCTTAAAAATATATCCTCGGTAAAGCCATGCTATGTCCGCGGCGCCGAGAAATACACTCGAGAAATATTTCAATCACACTATGTTATATTCCTTCTACACGAGAGAAGTTGATTGTGATCGTATTTAGGCAATATTTTCGTAATATTACGGTAATATTACGACAATATGGCGCATTTCTATGTGGCATAGAATTTAACTGTTGTATCTTCCAAATATTTCAACAGTACAATCATGCTACGCCCGAGGAGGCTGGAGTACACTCGCGGAATATTTCAATCACACCTATCTGATTTTTGTCGTATTTTAGTAATATTTAGGTAATATTATTGTAATATTACTATCATATTACACATTTCAATGGTGATGAATATTTACAAGCTTTATCTTAAAAATATATTAATTGTGGTTGTATTTTGGTAATATTTCTATAGTATTACGATAATATTTCGACTACATGAAGCATTTCTATGGTAACACATTCATACCACAATAATACCAGGAGAACACCTTCATTAACACCGCAGAAACTACATTAATACCACAATAATTAACAATACATTGATTTAGATAAATCATTCAATACATGCTCTAGACAAATCGAACTGAAACAACTCGTTGCAGTTTCTTAGTATTTCACATATCATCATTTAGGTCCATCAATAAGCTCGTATATGTGTTTGTGGGTAGTGATGTAGGCAATTCTTGTTGATTTCGAGTAATAACAAGTAAACGTAAATAAATAAGTATAATTAAAGTTAATGCACATATCACAAACCATTTCGAATTTTAAATGATGTACCTGACTATAGCAATCTGATATTGCAAACAGGTTTAGGTCGCACGGGTGAAATGTATCTTGACTTGAATCAGTTTCTTTCTCCTTTCTTGTAATACAATGTTTCATGTTAGGGAGTAGTAATGCAGCATACATGAACACACGTTTATTAGTATAAATAAAACTTGTTTATTTTACCCTCTTGTTCTCTCCCAATAGCCCTTTAACATTACATTAAATATTCATTTTCGTCGCATATTCGTTGGGTCGTTCAAATTATACTGTGTATTCAGTGTTATTTTTTTTATTTGACTGTCTTTTCCCGATGGTCTCTCATTCAATATGGCATCAGATTCGATTGTTAGTTTTTTTAATGTCTCCAGCAAGTGTTACTCAGCAAGTTAATTACCTCGCGTTGTCGTACTGATCCAGTAAGCAGATTTATGAATGTTTGTGTGATACATGAGTCAACTTAAATAACTTGGTAACATTTTTGAATCCTTGAGATATTTATACCCATAAATGTTATATATATCTCTTTTTGCATGAACAGACCATCGTAATAATATATATTTATCAGGGATTTTTGTTATATTTTCAAGGTTAAGCACTCTTAGAATATGAGCGCATAATAAACCCATGATTTCAAATTTTTTGCAATCGTATGTAATTTCAGAATTACTTTTGTCGACTTTAACAATCCAGAGTCTGTCGAAGTCCTTATTATCTAAATTTCTAATATAAAATTTTGAATCACTGCTGGCAGAGCACTCCATAACAAGTCCACAAAAACCATTTAGTAACTCTGCTTCAAATATTGAATATAACTTTCACGTATAAACTAAAGTAGTCTGCCTCAACACGGGACTACGTTTTACTACGGGAACAATTGCAGACTATTCTCACATTTAAAATATGCATCCTTCTCATTCCTTCGTCAAGATTTCATGACATTTTTAAGACCCAAAAAACTTTCAGTGAGAGTGTTTGTTAGCTTAGAGACACCATGACAGTTGTTATTCGTGGATTCACTTCTTTGAGTTGATAGGATACTCATTCAAAATATTTATTTATTGAAGGTCGTTGAACACTTATATCTGATATTTTACAAATTATTCAACCAAACATTCTTCTGTAAATTTCCTTGTTCAATCATTATATCTCAAGTTTCTTCAAACTCCTCTTAGGAGTGGCATCTACCCGTGCATTAATAAAAAAAATCATTCTCTCTTACTGCCCCACCAGAATAGACTTTTGAAGATAATTTATTGTAAATATGACATTGGCATAATCTATGTCTAGTGTGTGGCAGACACTCTTCAATAATTATGGTCATTGGTTGATCTTGATCAGTGAATATTGTTATCTGGATAAATGATGTGAATAACCACTTGAATGAGTCAACTGTTTCATCTGACAAAAAATCAACTCCAAATAGAACATTCTAACAGTGGTGGTTCACACAGACAATAAAAGCACAATATAAATTGTATTTATTCAGTTTATAACTTGTATCAAATATTATGACATCCTCAAAATAATCATAATCACGCCTGGATATCTTATCACTCAAAAAAAATTCAACAAACTACCGGACTCATCAATTTGGACATCCCATGCAAACATGATATCATCAGTTTGCCTCTCAGTGAACAATTATAGTGGAGAATTAGCATCCCTATGTTCAATTTAAACTCCTCTCTTTGTATGAAATTATAAGCATCTCTCTTCGTGTAATAAGGATTTTTCACCCCCGACTTCTGTAGCCAGAAAATTAAATACATCGCTTGCTCTAATCCAGGATTGTGTCATCAATCTGAGCACTTTTGCATTTATGTCACTTATCTTTCTGCTGGAACGCAATAAATGTTTGTCGTCGTCCGCTGCCAAAGGATGATTATAAATTTCTATAAATTTCTTAACCGACTAGTTACTTTTAACATCGACGATTTATCGGATCATGGTTAGACAGCCAGTCCTTGTGTCCTCTCTTCCGAACTTCACCGTCACAGCATTATACAATTCTTTATTAAAACAAGCTTTACCACAAATGAAATCATTTGTCTTAATTCTCTTTGAATTCGACTAAAAACAACGTGGTTCTTTCGCACAGTAAATCCAATTTGGGTGTGTATATGCACAATACTGTTCATACGCTTCCTTCTCATTATAGACAACAGCGTGAAGCAAGCTATCTGCAATTGGATCAATGCACACACTTACAGACTAGGAGAACACCATAATACATAATACAGTAATCCCCCCTCCAACATAACGATAACGTTACAAGCACATAATACAGTAATCACACCAGAATAACACCATAATACTAGCATTAAGACGACATGAATAGCACCAGTAAATACATAGTAATAACCTCACTTGTCGAATACTTCTAGCCGCAGCTAATAAGCTCACCTCATTGGAATCATTCTCGTAAATATTTTGCGATTCCATCTGGCCGAAACAGAATTCCATGGGGTCCCTTACCCTAGATGTTGAATACAAACGCAAATGAAAAAAGAAAGCAAATGAAAAAAATTCTTAAACCACAAACCGAAATGAGACCAAATAAGTTTTTTTTTCAATTTGTTGGGTTCCAAAATGACAAAAAGGAAAACTCTATGCGATTTGATGGGATCTAAAAATGACAAAAAAACGCTTTTTGGATGCTTGGGAGGGGCTCGGTTCAGGTCGCGCTGTAAAAAAACTTTTGCTTTAATTACTTTGGTGTTGGGCCCGTAATTCCACATGTAATTTTTTAATTAAAGACCGCACGCAGGCTTGCGTGCGGTTTCCGAACTGAATAATTTTTCGTAAGAAAATATAAAGTTTATTATTTTTCTGTTGGGCCCCGCATTTCCACGTGTCAGGTTTTAATTGGACACCGCACGCAAATCTGCTTGCGGTGGCCTCACTGAATAAGCGCTCGTGTATAAATGCTAATAACATCATAAATGATTAACTTTAAGTTCCTCGGCCAAGTCGTGACAATTATCAATAGTTCATGGTCTCCAAGTGCGAACAAATAAGCCTAATGTGTGTTAAGAAAGCAAATAACATTATAAAAAAACATATGCAAAGAAATGATACAAAAAAATGTTGAAAAAAAATAGGTCACTCTTAAGGAGCCATTTGGGATGCCTTTGATTTTTTTTTTATGTTTTTAATTAAATGAAATATGTTTCGTATGTTGTAACATAATAGTTGTTTTTAAAAACACTTTGAAACAACTTTTAGATGTTTTGAGTGATTTTAAAAATAAAACAATGTTTAAAAAATAAAAATGCCAAAAATGCACTAAACAAATATATTTTTAAAATAAAAGCAAAAAATAAAAATAAAAGAAAAAAATAAAATAAAAGTGACCCAAATAAGCCATGAGCTATACAACTTTGTTGGACTGCAAAAGCTGCTTCTTCCCACCGAAGCTACTTTTTGCCTCACCATGCACTTGTGCCTACACACATTAACAGGGCAAATCGGTTGGGCCAAAATTTCAAGAATGAAAGCATGGGTCCCCATACACCCAGGGCATTCTTTCCAGTGTGCATCATAAAAACAATGTAGTAGACCCATAATTTAATCAAAGTGGCTCACCGAGGTGGCAAAAAAGGTAGCTTTAACACCTTTGGATCAGATAAATATTGCCAGTTTACAATTTTAACCATTGGGCACCAAACAGAATTTTTTGTGAACCATTAAGATTTGTAGTGAACAAATGATGTTTTGAACATTAAATGCCAACATGGCCATGCCACCAAAACAAAAACAAAAATAAAATATACTGTAAACTCTGAAACTAAAAGCGGTGCAACAAGAACTATTTTGGGTTGAAACCAGGGACATTTTGAATAAAACAATTTCCAACAATTCCATTTTAATTTTACTATGGCACTATGGCAGTGCTGACATGTTTAGCCAATTTAAGAATTACTAACTTGAAGTAGTTGGGCATATATGTTAAACAAACAAGATACTAAAACTCTGATATTAAACAAAAAATAAATTAAGTAATTGCTGACCTCACAATTGTCAAGTACCAATAACTTAAGCATAGGGCAACCTCCACCATCGCTAAAAATTTCACACACAGAATTCGACAAAGACTCACAATCGCTAAGATCAACTTCTTGCAGATTGTTACATTGTAGATGTAAATTGGCTAGACTTTCCTGCTTTTGAAGCACTAATTTCTGCACAGTGAAGATTCATGATTTATGAATTAAGAACTTCTACATACGGCAAAGTTAAGTCCCAGAACTTACAAAAGGATCACCTTAAGCGCATCCGACATAATGCTAATGCGATGAAGGAGCGAACAGTTAGAGACCTTCACATCTGAAAGTACTGGACTCCGCAAATTTAAGTCGAGAAACCTACAAAAGAATAACACAGTTCTGAATATACTCCCCAGAAAGAAAACAAGAATATGCTTCTAAAAGTGGAATGCCGGATAGATTCTACTTGCGGCAATGGACAAGACTGATGCTCTGCAGCTGTGGTAGATCTAATAAAACTGAAGTTAACAAGCTGCAGTTATCAAGCTGTAATGCCTACAACAAACAGTTAAAATTTAACTTAGTAACAGAACAGATTAAGACGATTTGGTCAGCTTAAGTTAGAAAATTTCAAAAAATAATAAACTATATACATTCAGAGGCCAACCTTTAGCATTCGACTATGAGATATTGCAGATAATGACGCAGAAGTTATGCCCTCGCAATTATGAAGTTTCAGATTTATCAACATGGGCAGTCTTACAGACTACAAAAACAAGCAAAGAAAGCATTACAAATTTACACCAATTGACACGCCAAACAGATTAAAGAGAGAGAAATTCATAAAACAACCTCAAGTGAGATGTTTGGGCAGTATGAAGCATCGAGGACACAAATATTAGGGCAAGCAAGAGCAACTTCACGCAATGTCTCATCACTAATTGATGAACAAAAAGCTAAATCCAAAGATGCCAACAAAGGACATGATGTAGCAGCTGAACGAATTCCAACATCAGATAGTTTGTGACAGGAAGACAAATCCAATCCGTGTAACTGAGGGCAACTAAGTAATGCATGGGCCATGTTGGTGCGCCTTAGTGCCAAAGTTTGCAGCTGAGGGCATCTGTACAAAATGAGTAAACCAGATACATTAAAAGCTGAGACACAAACAACATTATTAATTTCAACATGAATTTTTTGTTGATTTATTCACCTAATTGCAACACGAAGTACACGACACTTGACAATGTTAAGTTCACGCAATCGATCATGGTGTACAGATATCTCTTGAATACCGTTACCAAAAGAGGAATCATAAATGCTTAAACTGTTCAATGAAGGACAATCAGTCAAAGCTTGGAAGAAGCCATCACCAAGTTGTCCTTTCCCCAGATTCAAAGTTTCAAGAAATCTGAAAATAAACTAGATATCAAAACTTAATTGAAAAAAAATTAATTACAAAATTGCCTACATAGAATATCAAACCTGAGGGATGCCATTGCTTCCAAAACAAGAATGTCAGCATTAAGCACTCCAAATAAATTAACATCAATTGCATTTGGATAGCGGTGACAAAGAGCTTCAACTGGAAAAATAACAACTGTATAAATATTCATATTTCTACTTATATGACGGATTAGAAATATCAACGAAGCTAAATATAGAAAGATATCCTGTTCACACTAGTGCTCTCACATCTAGAAAGCAAAGAAGAATAGCAACATAGAATAAAACCTTCAAAATGATGGATTGTTTTTTCTTATTCCAATGTAAATGATAAATTTTTCACCAACAAAATTCTTATTTCCATCACATCCAGAAAACATAAAAGATCACATCTTTCACAAGAAAGAATATAAAAAACCTCAAATCAATTGAATATGCTTGAGTCCAGCCGTTGGAAATCAGAAATTCCCACATGAGAAAAATCGAAGCCTCAACATGTACGAATTCTGTAATTTTATTACAAAATATGCAATTAGCTTTCCTACCTTAAACTAACCATATCTGAATGTATGAACGAGTATACATTCTATTTCTCTTTAGGTGGCAACAACTCTAGGATAACCAAAATTGATTGGGAGTGAATGAAAGATTGCATCCTCCCTCATTGTTTCTTATGTGTGCAATGACTAGTTGATTGTGCCAATTGTCCCTATCCATAATACAAGAATTCTAGTCGGAAAAAAACCATTCTTTTACCACATGATCTCAGTCCACTACTACAATTCTAGGCATCCACTGGATTATAGCATTCAGCACTAATTTGTCAACAGGGCTCTAATCTTTCCTAAACCTAATTGTTGACAATTTGGATCCAATGATCATATTCTTTTCCAACAAAACCTTCATTGTTAGGACCCTATAGCCTTCACTATTGTTTATTGTAATAGAAAATAATCATGTTGAAAAAAAATCTCTCAAGAAAAGTATTGCCAGAGAGTTTAAGATCAAAGAACATGGACTTCTCATACACTTATTGTAGATCAAAGTGACTTATTCCACAGAAACTATTTTTAATTCTCAATAGAATTATACAGCAAAATCTCTCAAAAAAAAAATTACCCTTGATAGCAAGGTAATTTTAATGCCTAATGAACCTAAACAAAGGTTGGGTGAAAAAAAGGGTGATGATGCAGGGGCAAGATTGAAGCACCATAAACTGGTTGGAAGACACGAGGTAAAAACGAATGCATATTCTCTTATCCTTTAAGTAGCAATAGATCCGTAATATTCAATTTTTCTTAGGAACGAAAGAAGATATTTATCCTCCGCTTTATTTCAAAATCCTCTTACCAATATATGGTGGGCATCTACCAGAAACAGCTTGGCTAGTAATCAGTCTTATTTCATTTCCAGGATAAAGCTCCAACATCGCCAAACACATACATGCTAAATTGCTGTTCTGCTAGTTTTGATAATTTTTTAGTGCATGAAAGCTTACATTGGCAATCTCAAACAGACCATATTTTCAAGTTTACTAGTAATATAAATAGTTAATGAAAGCAAATATAAGACTTCTAAACTATATATGTTTCCAATGCACCATAATGATAAACTTAGAATTATCACAGAGTCAGCGTAGCCAACTTCTGCATTCCAGATAAGTATGGAATTTCAGTATCTTATGTCAATGTTTGTGCTTCGTATTTTTTCATCCTGTAGAATAACAGTATTAAATCCCATACTAATTTGTGCATCTAATAGCCCGTTTAAGTTTAAAATGCTTCAGCAACTTTAATTTTATAAATTGATTTTACCAAATATAAAATGGCAGGAGCAAAATAGCCTCTTAATGGATAAAGTGGAAAACTCGCTCAGTGACCCAGCACCATTCCCAACTTCTAAAGATTCGTGACACGTAAACATGGCAAATAAGTCAAAATCAAGTTTTTAGTTTAAATCAAGAGAACAACATTTACAAGATCTCATTCTAAACCTTAACACAAATTGTCATATTTACAAGATGGCAGTGGCTAGGCTAACAGTTTCTAGGTGGTAGTCAAAATTCAAACATATCATAAACCGCTGAAAAGTCAAAAGGCAAAAAAATAAAACATGAACAAAACTGCAGTCCAACTCTTCAAAAGGTCACTAGGCTGCTATGCATTCCATTCCTACTGTGCAGATTCAGCTTTTACCATTAGACAATAGTAAAAAAGAGAAATAGCCGAAGGGTCAATGCGGCGTCATAGGTAAACAAGTAGTTGACTAAGATCAACAAGACGCTTTGATACCAAAATAGATTATTACAGAAGAGTTATGACCGTAAAAGAACAAATGTAATCGAAGAACAACTTGAACATGGTTTAAATGATAAGAGTTTTAAGTTCATTCAAGTTAATAATAAAGAAAGCTAGAATTTTTTTTAACAACTCAGAAAGTTAAAAGAAACAAGTTTGAACACAAACCAACTTGTTTATTTATAATCACGAACTTGTTAAATGATTGATATTAAGTGAGCTGGACAATAACTTATGTTTATTTATTAAAATTTGATTACTTATTTAATAATGATATGCTATATATTTTTTTATTTATTAGTCAACAATACATTCCACTTTTCGTTCCATCGCACTCAATCTCCGAAGTTGCCTAAGGTGGCCTGCCTTACTGAGAACACACTGAGGTCTTTACTTGTATTAACATACACCTATAGGAGTTGAGCACAGCTTCTATTCTTCTCTTTCTTAAAGAAATTTGTAGCTGACATGTCGCCAAACAATCTATCGACACACCGCCTAATCCATCAATGGCAAGAAATCAGAGAATGGCTGGTGCTGGTAAAGGCTGGGGCTGGTAAGGGCTTTGATCCAATAAATCTTGTTACTCTTGCATCAATTTCATGACAATATATATTAAGCTACGTACTTTTCTCTCCCATTAAATTGACAATATGTTCATCCCAAAAAAAGGACTCTCAAGTCAAAAGAAATATTTAATGCTCTTTTTTTTTATTCACATAGCACAATAGCATAGTTCTTTTATTTATTTTGTAAGGAAATTTTTTTGGCTTTCGATTATGTTATAATATTAGAAATAAAATAAAAAATAAATCAAATAGAACATCACAAATAAATCATTTTACAGAATTCATAAATTAATCCTCCAGCATCCAAGTGGCAGAAATATCAGTAGTTCCTTTATAATGTGTTGATTTAATGTTGTTATGAAATTGATATTTAAATTACATGCCATAACTATATAATAACATAAATATTGCAATTAAATGATATTAAATGTTAAATATGTCTAAATCTTTATCTTAAGATTTTCATATATAAATTGCTCTTGATTTGATCCTAAAAAATATGCATTTCACTGCTAACTCTTCCGGTGATCATAACACAAATGATACTAAAGCAAATGTTGTTGATATGCTTGCAAATGTTATTGAAGGATTTATAGAAGAGAACATTAATAATAGAAAGAGTAAGGCAATTTCAAAATTTTGGAAAAACTTCACTATGGTAAAATTATAATATAGTGTTGAAAAGATAAAATGCAATTATTGCAATTTATATATGAAATTACGTGTCCAAGAAAACTAGGAAAAGAACAATTGCACATCACTAGAGAACAAACATATCCATAATCATAGTGCGCTTAATTGTAAATTTGGCTGTATGAAAATTCTAAATTAAAAAGATTATATCCAATATGATCATGTTTCATAAGTTACCTTTACTTTTTATTTAGTATGAAATCTTAAACATATTGATAAAAGCATTTAGCTCATAAGTTTAATGTGCAATAGCTGAAAAATTTTATATGAGAAGTGATAAGATCAGACAGAAAAGGATCAAAGGGTCGATAAATTTAGTTGAGATTGGCATAACAAAAAAAATCTTTAAAGTCAGGATAAAGATGTTAATACTTAGTTTTCACTTGACAATTTGTTGCTAAAGAGTGAAACATGACAAAAAAGTCTTAAATTTTGTTGAAGTTAGTCAACCACAAAATAAAATTCGAATCATCTTATTTCTTATTCACTTTCCTAGTAGTTGTAAATTATCTTGATTTCTATAAGGTCAAAAAATCAAAGTGATGTAACAATTTTTAGGAGGGCGTATAAGCTTCTCTTCCACTAAATGCTTCTCATGTTGGTAAACGTAAGTTTTAAGATATTTTTTGAAATTAAATAATTTATTATTAGTGAATGCACATATTGATTTGATAATGAGAAGAGAAGAGATAATGAGATAGATTAATTGAACGTGTTTTAAAAAAATTAATTAATACGTGAAACAAATGAATATCTGTGTAAGAGGAGATAATGAGATAGAAAAAAGGAGCACAAAAGCTAAACAAATGAAAGCCTCAAGCAGAGGAAGGTAATGGGGGGTATGATGAAGAAATACATAGAACCTAAGAGGGGAGGCCACAAGATATTTCAAATCTCAATTCATTAACTAATAATCCTTGATACATGATAGACACTCTCTTTATAGGCTCAGAATTCAAATACTTGTCTAACGCATGTCAAAACTAGAAAGAAAAAATAAAGCATCCATACAATAAATGATATGATGAAATCTAGGACATTTATTAATACTAAGTACTCTACACCAGAAAGAAAGAAACTTACTAGTCATTAACTTCCCTAATGAAAGACAGGGGCAACAACTCTTAGCCTAAACATCAAAGCAACCTAGCAGAAGCGGTCAGGAAAGGATTGGCAAGTCCTTACAAAAGCTGAAAAGGAAAGAGAATTCATGCTACTACGGAAGAAAATATGCAAAGGATGAAAAGAGATTCAAAAGAAAATACTTAAAAAGTTCACCTTATATTAGCTTTGAAAAGGCAAGGCTATAGAGACAAAAGGATAAATATAATAAAAATGTTACAAAGACGCAAAGTTATTTACAATGTCAGTTATGATTGTTGATGATGATAATGATGACAATGCGAACATAAGCATGAAAGCTTTTAGTAGAGGGAAAAGAAATGTAGACGCTAAGTGAAGTCTAAAAAGTAAGATAAATAATAAATAAACAAATTGTATGTGTCAACCCACTCTAGATTAAAGACCATGTAATAGATAACATGGGTAATTATAACTTTGAAATTCGCAGAAGATCAAAACAAACAATTGAAACAGGGATTGGATTACGTAAAAAAACATAAACCACCAGAAAACACTACCCTTGGAACTTCAAACCATCTGAATAAATTAGATTTCCATGAATTCAAATTTTCAAACCTAAAAGAAAGAATTGTAAAATATGTTATTAACACAATTTAGCATCCAAAAACAGCTAAAATGGACCCAGTTAGTGGGTTTACTCTAGAATGATCTAGCTCAAACCAACAATAAAACAGATTTCATAATGGAAATAACTAATACAATCAAGTTATGCTCTTCTAACAAATAAATGCCAGCTACAACTTAGCATACAAAATGTTAATGACGAAATGTATCGCACAGCTTACCATAGTTATACATATTACTCTTTAGAATTTTTCAAAAGTCGTAGTCAAACAAAATATTTGAATGTTTGGACCATACTCTTAACTTCGTTTCCAATACTCTCATTCAATAGTTAAGTCAATACAATGCTTAAGCGATGACGTCACAGTCTATCTACTAAACAACAAATCAGTAATTCATGATTAAGCTTGAATAATAATCAGCAACACTCGTCCTCATTCTCAAATGTTCATACCAAGAGCAGTAATGTTTCAAAAAAATGAGAATAACGAGGAGGAAGCATACAATTTTCCTGAGAGACATCTGCATCTTCCAAATTTAAACAACTCCAAAAATCCTCATGCATGCTTGCAAACTGCCACTGCTTGCAAGTTGCGCCTGCTTTACATAAATCCCTCTGGCTTAGAAAAGAGAAAACCTGCACGTAAACAACAGTCTACAGATAAATAAATTGTTACCGAACAGTAAAATTTACACAATGTAGGTTTTCAGAGCATACCAGGTGCAAAAGATCCTCAGTGAGATCCATTCTATTTTCTGAATTATCAGCATTTCCAGCATCACTTTCACCTCCATTATTCTGAGAATCATTAGTATGCATAGAGCTTCTAACTGCATCAGCATTTATGATAGAGTAGAAATCGATCATCTGACTTTCAGATGTATCCAAAGTATGAGAATCAATATAGTTCTCAATAGCAGGCAGAGCAGCGGTTTCACTATCTAAGGAATGTGTTGCAATAATGTGTGCACTGAGAAAAGCAGAGATGGAAATGAAAATTTGCTTAACTAGATAAGAAATGAATGAAATACAAACAGGTATTGGTAAAGAAATAAAGGGTTCTAGAGGTCTTTCACTGAACCAATATATACTAACAACATATCCATCACAGCCAAAATAAAAATAGCATGCAATAAAGACTTAAAACATAGGAAATGCCTACACAGTAGAACCTATAAAAATTTAATGGAAAATAGGGAAAGCAATTTGGGCCCATGGCAATTTAAATTCATAGCAGTACCGCCCCAATTAGGACAATTAAGCAACCACTTTTTACAATACAACGTAGAAACCAGGTTGGACAGGGTAGAGTGGCACAGACCTTGCGTTTTAGGGAAATAAGCAATGGCAAGCAAAAATTTCATTTTTAAAACTTATAAATTTATATGCATCAAATTATTGAATGCCTTGAAGATTAAAATCTTATTAGCAAAAGATACAAAAAAGAATGAGCTCAAACTGTCGACAAAAAAAAAAGGAAAAAATTAGATTTTCTTACAATTAACCAAATACCATATAAATAAACAATAAGAAAACATGATGAAGATGCACTTTGTTTGCATTGCCAACGTCATGATTTACAATTTTATGATCACATGGAATAGGCCAAAACCCAATTTAACTAAAGTGTATATTTTTCATAAGATGGATTAGGTTTGTTTTATTCTAATTTCATCTGATAGAACAAATTTTATTTAGATCCAGGGTCGAGACTCACTATGGACATAAGCACCCATACTGATTTAATCCTCTCGCTCATAATAGGATCATATTTAATGATTGGGTTTGAGATTAATTTGTGGGTGGAGATAAATCCAATCAGGATTCAATGGGTTCATCCTCCCAGATATACGGCGAACCTAGACTACTACAAAAAGGGTGTGATAAGACCAAACATTTAAATAGTCAGATTAGTAACCATGTGTTACCCAATCTCAGACATCTCAAGTAGAACAAGGTGGATATATGCATGATATTTGATTGGAGGATTTAGTTATGGTTAGTGGGATTGTTAGTATGAAAGTTGGTTTGAGTTTATGTTGGTACATCCATTTAAAAGCCCAAATAAATTAGAATGAAGCATATACCAATTAGAAAACACACATTTGAATTAAGCGGTTTATTGCCTTTGTAACAACTCAAAGTAGTATTCTGGGGCTTAAATTCCTTGCAAGGCCCCTAATAACAACCTTAAAGAAGTGGAAAGGCCCATGATAAGTTTTAAGACCTTACCCTGCAGATAAGGTGGCGCAATGTTTGTCATTTAAATTCTTGACATGCATATGATGTTGGCTTCATGGAAGTAAAGGGCATATTACTTTACTTGCGAGCGGCCTAAGGGCCATGACTCGCAGACCTATCTTCCAACATGCTCATATATTAGACTAATGACTCAAATATTGAAATCATGGGTATTATGATATATTGTAGGTAAGGCTGAGCCTTGCCTTGTAGGAAAGATGGCACTAAAGATCAAGCTTGTTGATTTCCTTCTTTTTTTTTTTTTTTTTTTTTTTTTTTTTTTTTTTTTTTTTGCTTTTCCATGTGGCGCATATTTTAAATTGCATTGTGAGGCAATTGATCACTAAGACAATTAGATCAATTGGGCGATAACAAGATTAAACTCAAACACAGCCAATTTACTTGCTCAATCAAATCGGCCTTGTGTTTATTTAAATAAAATCATTTAATTAATATTTTTTAAGAAGCATTTGCAAAAATATTAACATCAATGACTCATTTATAAGATTTCTATAATTTCAAACCATTCTTTAGCTTTTGGGTCAAATGCTTGCTTTCTTGACAGTATTAATAATTATTATTAAAATTAAAACCACATTTCTTGCTTAATTCTAATTTTATTAATATGATTCGAGTTTTCTTTTTTTTTTCAGCTGATTGTTTCTGTCACTTTGCAAACCTTTACTTTTAGTTATAGGCATTGCAACTAGTTACCAATAAGAAGCCGACAAAATTTTGATAGTATTATCAGTACACATGCTGTGGATTTAGTGAAATTACAAGCAACACCACAAAATAGCAACATATTTGAATATAGAAGATTGCTTTTTTCACTTACATAAAAATGTATCAGGACATTTTGACACAATTATATCAAGTTTAGCAGCAAATGCAATTGAAGAGCCAGAAACTGCCCATGGGTATCTACAGAATGCAAATGACCATCTTCATATATAAGATCAATATCACCAAAGTGCTTAGCATTCCATCAACTTAGTCTTATTTCTATTATGTCTATACAATATTGAGACAAGAAACATTTATGACTACGTCCTACTTATTTTCCAATACCATGGATGGATAATGATTTAAAAAATTAAGTAATGTCGAAAAACAAATATTATAATTTCTAATTGGCTAAGCAGCTTAGACTCAAAACACTATACATCTATATTACCCACAAGTAAGTAGGGCAGTTATAAATATTACATATTTCGTCCTTTTTGCATTCAATCACTAATATATCCTCGTAAACAAATTTCAAAAAAAATATATCTTCCTCTGTGTTAATTTACATGCATAAACATGCCGCCATACACTAGACCAACTATATATGAGAATTTATGTTTAAGAATTCCCATAATTATAACAATAGAATGTTTCCACATGTATGCTTCTTCTTTCCTTACAGCTTTACCAAAAGCATGCCAATTTTTCTTTAAGCACTCTATCTTTCTCGAATGCTCTAACATTCGGCAAAAGCAAAAATCGTCAAAAATTGCAAACCGAGCACGCCTGGATTTATAACCTTACATATAAAAGGAGGAAATTTCCATAGATTTCATGGCAGGGCAGGGCACTCACTCTTGGTCAAAAAGAAGCTTAGCCCGCTTGTGCTGAGCATCCCAGTCAATGTCATCGCTGTTTATTCTCTCCGTAACATGGAAATCTGATCCATCTAGCTCCACGCCTTCCATTTCTCCCGTAAACTCCTCCACAGAGTTCTGCTCCAATCTGCTTCCAACATTCATGTCGCACGGTGACAGCCAGTTGCTCCTACTGCCCCTAGATGAAAACGCACCTCTCCATCAACATTTCCCGAGCGACAGACTCACCTCCAGCTCCACAGACACTCATACACCCTCAATTCCCACATACACCCGATTATTCACGTCCACGTAACCCGCAGATACCATCAAAAACCCTAGCCACTCGGAAACACCACCATATACTAAATCCACCCCCTTCACTTCCTGCCACCGTGAACCAAAGTCCGATAAGCGCGCACCCAGGAGTGCCGATCCTATTGGAGACCCTAGAACAGAAGCCAGAAAATCAAACTCGAGCAAAATGACGAAATCTTACCGACTTTCACAGCAAACGGAATAGCTAAAGAAGCTCAAAGATTCAACTTCTCTTCTCAATTTCACCGGAGATCAAAGCGCCTATACTAGGCAAAGAAATGAAGAACAAATCTGGATTTTCGAACTTCTGTGTAATTCATGTTCCCTGCGGCCCTGTTTTCCCCTTTCGCACGATTTTTAAAATTGGGCAGGCCTCGATGCCAGCGTCATAAAATTTTACACGCCCGGTAAAATAACCGCACTGCACCCTCTGTTTTTAGTCGCCACGTGGAAATTGAAATTTCCCTCATTACAACTCAGGGTCCGTTTGGCGCAGCTTTATCCTCACGGTTCGGCGGGAGACAGCCGAAGAAGATTGTTTGGCGCGGTATTTCATCTACGGAGACCGCGAATCTGAACAAAAAGCGGGCCGCGGGATCAACCTCGCGGCCTTGCTTTCCTCCCGCGGCCCCGCCTTTTCTCCTTCGGCATTTTACCCCGGTGCCCTCGATTCCGCATCTAGTTCGGCGAAGCCAGAAAGTAGAAAAGTGAGAGCAGAAACCGGAGAGTTCCGAAGGAGTCTTTCACCATAAACTATGCATCTCAGTCGATGGAGAATAAAAGAAGCGCTATCAGTACGAGGTAGAAGGAGTCGTCTTCGGCTTATTTCTTTAAACTCCTTTCCCCGATCTCTTCCATCCATGAGAGCTTGAAAAGGGTTAACATTTCCGCCATAACGTGCTATCACGGACGCCATATCAGAGAAATGGAATTTGTTGAAGACAGTATGCTATAGTGCTACTTATTTGGGTTTATGAAATATGCTAAAACATGATTTCCAAGCTTGTTCTATGGGGATTTTGATATTGATAAAGGGATGGTTAATTGGATAACCGCTTCTAATATTTCAATAATTCTAATGGAAGATTTACATACATACCACTTAATTCCTTTGTATTTACTGTTTAACTTCTAAACTTCAAATATTTACATGCGTGCAACTTTATATGAAAAGTGAACTTTATGCTGATAGGGTAATACATTTGGTGTGGTATATGAGATTTGGATAATAATGAAGTTAGAAATTAAAGATGTAAATATTTAAGAATTGGGTGGTGTATATGTAAAATTCTATGGACATTCATGGGATGAGACGGTAGGAAGCAACGATCTATCTTTGGGGAAATTCATTCTGAAAAGTTATGAGTTTTAGAGTATTAATATGAATACCTTATTTATGTTCGAAGAACTTTGAGACTTGATTGAAAATTTATATGCAGATCTTGCTTAAGATGAAGCAAGATTGAAGGAAAATATAAGAAGGAATTCCTAGGCACTCTTCTTCACTCAACAATCATTGCATGAAACATTATTATGTAAGATTGCTGCAACGAAGACTTTAAAAATGCTTGGCTATTATTACAAAATCAGTTTCAAGGTTTGGAAATGGTGAAGTAAAATTCAATCCTGCCGGCATGAATGGATAGTCAATTTTATGATCAACATTGTTCTGGCAGTCTCGATGTCGTTGGAAGCACTCTGGCTCAGTTTTACATGTTTTCACATTTGTTACAAATACGATTTGCAATTATATATTTAAATTTTTTACATATATACATAAATTTTTTAAACTGTTCTACGAAGCAGGGGCGGCTTGGTCATTTCTTCAGAAACAGCTGCCCCACAGCTGTTTTCACACAACCGCACCAAACAGACAGTCTGCTTCCTCGCAGCTGCTTCCCCGCAGCAGCTTTCTGGGGCAGCGCGGCTGCAGCTGAAAAGCTGAGAAGCTGTAGCTTCGCCCAACAAACCCTCAGTGAGTCGGGCTTGGAATTGGGTTTGTTTGAAATTATTTATATTTAAATGTAAGTGCATAAAGGATACTCAAAATATTATTATTTATAAATTAAGCATCCGCTTTCATCAATTTTTCAAATTCTCACTCAAATATTAAAGATCATAATAAAATCCCAACCCACAATTTTTACTTTTATAAAATTCACAATGATTTGATCGTAGCGCATATAAATGCATCGATGTCATAGTTCAAAAACTCATCTAGGCGTTTGATTTGTTGATAACAATGTTTCTTGCGCTCTGTATGTAATTACCCTTTATTAGTATAACTTGATTGGTTTGAAATGAGTTTGAATTTGATTTTATCTTGATTTATTCAAAATGAGCTCAAATTGATTTAATTGAATTGTTTGTATCAACTCATATTCAAGTTGGAAATAATATTTTATTAAATTTAAGAAATTGACGTATTATAAATATCAAAAAAAAAACTTTCTATTTAAATATCTTCATATGAGCACAGGCTTAAGGTCCACATGTCTCCAAACTTGACCAACAAATGTAACAGGTTTTTGTATTTAAACAAAATTATAACACTAATGAAAAAAACTCCCCAAAGTGAGACTAAGGGTATGTTTGGAGCAACTGAAACTTAATAATAACTGAAAGCTGTTGTGGATAAGCTGGTTGTCTGTTTCTTTTTTTCTAATTTGAAAATAGTTGTGTTGTTGTTGTTTACAGATAAAAAATCATTCTACCCTAATCTTGAATTGTCTACTTAAATTTCCACATAAAATCGAAATATACATTCAGTTTTTCCATTAAAATTCAAAATTCATGTTTCGAACACATATTCAACACATGCACAACACCCAAAATTTTGCTATTAACAAATCAAACACCAAAATTCATCAATTTTTAAAATTCCCCACTAAAATATCAAAGTTCATAAGGAAATCAAAATTCCCCACAACACAAGCACCGAAAGAAATCAAACTAACCACATACAGGGCACCTGAAGCATTGTTAATAGGATAAACACAAAAAAATCCAAAGATCATCGCAAAACTCGGCTATCCAACATTACTTGAAAGACAAACCAAAACCCGTATAGATGCAACATGAAGCACCAAAATCACATAACCGAGCATATTCAAACTGAAAACTATCAAAATTGAGCAAAAAAAGATGAAACTAACATAATGTGCACAACCACATAGAGAAGAAAGAAAAGAGGTGAAGAACAGAGAAGATAGGTAGAAGAGGGAACACCGCACAGAATCAGTTATGGCACAACCACCAAATCGAGCCGAAGAAGAGAAGGGAGAGAGGAAGACTGAATACAACCCTCAATGTAATAATCACCAACTGAAGAAAGTGATCTACTAAACTGAAGGACTTCCCCACCACATAGAGCACAAAAGAGCACAAACCACCAATATTCCAGCGGAAGAAAAGATGAGAGATAGAGAAAAATGTAAGGGTCATCGGAACAACCACTCGCAATAGAAAATAGCAAATCATAAACAATGTCTAGACACCGGAGCCATTGATCCACGGGAGAGAGATACTTAGGGCAGAAGAATCGGTGGAGAGGGAGTAGGGTTGAGAGAAATGAGAGGAGAGGTCACAGGATAATTGAACCTGGGGTCGAAACAGAAGAAACGCGGGTCATAGGGCCGAACCCCGGTCGCGTTTTAACATGCTATTTTAAAAACACTGCCATGACGCAAAAACCAAACGCCGCATATCACAGTCAATCGCCTCGCCGCACGAATTCAGCAGCGCCAAATGACCCCTAAATAAAAATGAGAAATCTTATGGTGTAGGAGGAAAATTTTTAAGCACATTTATATCTGTAACACCCAACTAATATGTATTTAATCAAGAATTTTCAAATGATCACTTGAATTTTCCATAGGCATTTACGTACATACCACCTAATTTTTATATATTTATATTAGAGCATGAGATGGGTGGGAATTATCCAAGTTGAATTTGCATACATACCACCCAATTCTTATGTATTTACATATCTAACATTTATATTTATATTTTTTTATAATTATACCACCCAAGTTATTTTTAAAAATAATAAATTTAATTATTTTTAAATATAAAATAATTAATTAATATAAAAATATATAAATAAATATTATTATTATTGAATTATTTATTTCTTTTAGGCCGAACAAAAATGAACAAATATTTGTTATGTTTGACTCATTTATAAATCGAGCTAAAAATATATGTTCGTGTTGGGCTCGCTTGTTTAACGAATGAATTGAACTTGTGCTACTTAACAAGCCAAACACAAGTTGTTCGGGAACAACAAGATTTTTTGACAGCCCTAGTTCAAACAACTTCTACAAAATTTAGGAGAGTAAATAATCGTATTTTTATTTTTCACAATTAAAATTTATTTTAATTTTAATTTTTTTATTTTAAAGGGCTTGTCTTTCAGGTGCCAAAAATGGTCCTGATATCGACCTGAACTTGACTAGAAAAATTCAAGTTTAGGTTGACCTGAATAATTTTAGCACTTTTAATCTTTCAGGTTAGGTTCAAGTTGAACTGCCAACTTGAAATTAATTTGAATATGACTTGTAAACTCGAAATTGACTTGACATCGAGCTACTAGCTCGAAATTGACTCGAGGTTGACCCAAAATCAACCTGAATAGTTGTTACGCTTTATGTTAAACGGATAATTCAGGTGGGGTTCGAGTCGAAGGATTGAGTTTTGTTTGGACAGTCTTACTCATTTAATATTTGAGTTGAGTTGAAGTCAAGCAATTTCTATTCAGGTCAATTTCGGGTTGGATCCGAACCCGACACACCAACACAACTTAGCACTCATCCTTACCTCGCCCAAAAAAATTTCTGGTAATTCATACTTTATATTAAATAAAAAAAAATTACAAGTAATTGAAATCAGTAAACAAAGAACAAACTCAATGTAAATAAAACCCAAATGAGAGAGAAACAAAAGTGAGCCCAACCAATCCATGCACTAGGCTGTCATTATTGGGACTCCATCCAGATCAAAGGTGTATATCTTATTATCAAATGTGACACATTGAGACATCATGACACAACAAAACTGTAATATTATAATTGAGAGGAACAATCGTTAGATGTAGAAACCAATAATATGTAAGACAAAAGCAATTAGGATCCTCATTACATAACATAAACAAAAGGAGGAAGAAACCTTATAACCATATGAATGCAAGATGTGCCAATATTCAAACTTAATCATCTCAATAAATGTATCTAATAAGACCGTGAGATATAATCTCTAAAATAATTGAATCCCAATAATGAAGTTATACATCATCAACACTCAACAAAAACTCCAAAAGATGATCCAAAGATAACACCATGAACC